TCCTGTCGAAACCTCTGGAATGGGCCGTACCGGAAGGGACTGTGCGCCTTTGGGCTTCAGCGCGCCATCTTTCCCCTTCTTTTCTTCCGAGCACAGAAAGAGGTACCTGCCCTCCTGCCACACTCTTAGCTGTTGGCTGCATGAAGCAAAGGGAAGAGAGCATTTCCCCGGACAGGAGACCCTTCTAGGGGCTGGCCTCACAAGCGAACGGAGATCTAGGGAATCTTCTAAGGGACGCCTCCAAGTCCGGCCTCCTGGGGGCAGAAGAGCAGAGAAGATTCTTTTTCCCCGCCGCACACACCCTCCCCAGACGTTCAGCCTGCCCCAGCTCAGCTGAATTTATTTTGTCTCTCCTTATTTTGGGGGAGAGGGGGTTCCGCCTCTGCAGGCCTACTGCTGTGAGTAAATCCTTTTAGTGACGAGAGCTGCTTTTCCTGTGCTCCTAGATTGCCGTAATAACTAAGGATGGAAGGGTTTGAAGCTGAGATGAGGTTGGGATGGGGGCTCACTGGGGTTGAGCTTCCTTCATTCCAGGCTACCCCGGGGGATTTCTGGGGCTGGGCCACCCTGTGTACAGTTTGGAGCAGTTAGGGGAGTGTGAATGTTCACCTCTACTGCTGGAGAAACTAGAAGAAGGTCAGTGGGGAGACTTGACTCCAGGGGAAACACCAATTGGTTTCAGTTGCTCCTTCCAAACGTAAACTCATTTTGCTGTATTTTTTCCTCCATATTCAGATTCTTCCCTCCCTCCTTCCCTCTCTTTCTTTCTTCTTCTTCCTCTTAGAGATGACACACATCCAAAATCAGAAGTTTCCTAATATATTTAAATAAAGGCAGAAACACTGGATATTCTAATTTGCAAGTCTGGACAAGGCCTGGAAATCTGCATTTCTAACTGGTGAGCCCGCCCCCCACCATGTGACTAGGTTGGTTAGCCAGGTTTGGGGATTACTGCTATAAATTACCCTGAAGCTGTTATCACAAGGAGCTCTGGTGTCATAGTGGGTAAGACATTTGGCTGCTAACCAGAAGGTCAGCAGTTCAAACCCACCAGGTACTCCTGTAGAAGATGAGGCAATCTACTTCTATAAAGATTTATAGCCTTGGAAACACAATGGGGGTCACTATGAGTCAGAATCGACTCGATTGCGGTGGGTTTGGTTTTGGTTTTAAAGCTGTATCACAGCTATGCTATACATACAAAAATATCTTTTCAGAGGAGATGTGATTATAAAGTAGAAAAGATGAAGGCAGTCTTGCTATCTATTTACTTTATAGTCACTCTGCTACATTCATGCTTTGTCTTCTGGAGGTAGTGCTAGCCTCATGTGAGAAGATAAAAGCATATTTGAGGGATTCTTTCTTTTTAATACATTTTATTGAAATATAATTTATGTATAGTGAAATACACAAAACTAAAGTGACATGGGTCATGAGGGATTTTTTTTCAAAGTTTAAAATTGCAATTGCGTGTTCAATATTTGCCAGAAGAAATCTATAAAAAGCTATTTTTATATGGTTATGCTGGCCTGAACATCAGTCCCAGTTTTCTGCCACTCTCTCAGTCCCCTTTTCACATTCTCTTTAGTCTCCTTCCCACTTAAACATTTATTACAGTGTAAGAAAGCCAGGTTGAAAGCATAGGACACCCAGAAGAAAAGCTATGCATACACTCTGCTTGATTAGCATAAAGTACACTCATCTTCCAGGTGAGGTATCTGTTACTTCCCTACAGCCAAAGGGAATTAGTCTTATCAAAAGATTCCTGCCCCCTTTAATTTTTTTCTCTTTCTTTGGCTTGACAGAGTGGACACTGTCTTTGTTTTTTTAGTTCCTGGAAAGACTGGCTCTGGGGCAAGAATTGGTCTGCTGAAGGCTCCTCTCTTCTGGGCCAGTTTCTCATTTGGTCAGACAGCATGAGGAACCCCAACAAACACATCCTTGGCAGAATGCTTCCGGATTTTGCATGACTCTCAGAAATCCATCTGTGGTGTGTCTCTTGCTCACCATGGTCCTCAGAGGGGCTCTGTTTCTCTTTGTCCTGCCACCTTCCTCTGTCAATGATCTGATCGCTCACTATGTGTTCTTCATCACTAGGGTCTGTCCTCACCAGACTCAACTTGGGGCACTGCAGACTGTGTACTGGAGACTAAACTAGAGGCTTAGGCAGTTAAGGAAAGGGAGGTCTGGGTCCTAAGCCAGGTCTTTCTGGTGATACATTGATACGCAGGTAGCCACTGCTTCCTGGTCTCCCTACCTTAAAGGATTCCACAGTCTAAAAACTATGAGCTGGACAATATGGACCAGGTGGAGGAAGGGATTAGCTCTGGGAACCCTTTGAGCTTGGGGCATCAATCAGGTTAAGTTTGGAGCTTTGGAAGGTTTCAGCACCCTAGTTTCGGTTTTGCTGTTACATTCTTTAGAGATGGAGGAGGGCCAGTTCCCCCTCTCTCCCCCAAATCCACAACCCTTCCAGTCTCTGACAATTATACTCCTCCTGAACTCTGATAGATGCTGTGAGAATCCTGACAGACCGGACTGATTTTTTTCAGGAGTGTCTAAGAAGAGATGGCATTAATTATGGTACCAGGGAGAAGGTGTTCACTGTGTAAATGGTCCAGATTAAGTGGTATAAGATGTGGGCAGGTCTTGTGCATGGAAAATAAAGCAGTGATTGGAGATAGCAGCCATGAACCTTCAGGCCTGGCACACATTCTTTCATCCAGTTTAAGAATCAAGTTTAGGCTCTCACATTCCTGCTCTGCCAAGACCACAAAGCATAACTCTTGCTTGTCTCCATTCAGCATGGGCATGTATACTTTTCCATCAGTGACCCCATGGGCTTCCTAAATCTAAGGGCCAAGGAAGGCCAGCAGAAAGGGACCTGGATTTCTGGCAGAGAATTTCCCCGAAGGAGTCCTTAGCAGATTTGGCTGCAGTCAGAGAATTCCTTTGAGTGCAATGAAACAGAAGTTCACCATGTGCTTATTAGAGGTTACAACCTGCTAAAAAATGATGGGGCACATTACTTAGAAACATCTAGCTATTTCCTTTGCCAGACACAAGCATTCATACAGAATGAATGAAGTGGGACACGTTTCTTTTTTCTCTCTCTGTCTCTCTTTCTTAACAAATGGCAGGGAAAGAAGTTGGGAGGGTTTACTCAATCCACTCTTAACAGAATGCATGAGGGAGAGAAACCCTACACCAAGTAACAGACTTATCAGAGATAATATTCGTTGTTACTGGTTTGGTAGTTATTCTAAAGAAAAAAACAACTTTGGGGCTCGGGTGAGGGGCTGGGGATTGAATTTGAGAAAAATTTTAAACGCACGCACACAGCCCCAATAAGAGCATTCATTCCACCATTCCATATCCCAAGGACCACCCGAGTCTGGTGAGCGTATGAGCAAGAGCAGTGCCGAATGCCGCCGGCCTCCCGGCCAGCGGCTGGCAAGAAGTGTTTCAGAGGCCGGGCTGTAAGCAAAGCCCGAGTCCCCGCTCTCTGGGGAGCCCAAAGCACAGAGCTTGCCGGGGCTCAGGATCCACCCACCCCTCCCTGCTCGGAGGCGGTGCCTTCCGCAAGCTCCCGGTGCTGCTGCCCAGACAGCAACCACCCTTATTCCACCCCACCACCCACGCCTCAAAGTGAAGAGGTGGGCACCTGAGGCGCGCGTCCTGTTTTGTTCTGCCCGGACTCTCCCGTCTCAGCCACTTTGCCCCCGACGTCCCAGAAAAGCGGAGCAGGACGCGGCAACGGCCCAGCGAGGGCGCAGCCAGTGAGCCTCAAGCGCGCTCAGGGGGCGGCGAGGATGCTAGGACCGCAGTGGTCAGCATGCACACCCCAGCTCAAATCCCTGGGAAAGATACCCCTCTTCCCTTCCCCTTGCCCTCTTTCTGGCCCCGCTCCGTCCCGCTCCTCCCCAGGCTAGCTGCGGATGCTCTTTCCATTGCTCGCCACTTTGCGAGGAACTTTTGCTGCTCGCCTCCGCCACCCGAAGAGGGATGTTAATGAGGGAGCGTGGCCTCGCGCCGCGAGCCAGCCGGCTCCGGAGCCGCGATTGGCTTTGCTGAGGCGGAAGGATGACGTTATGTAAATGAAGGGGCGGGGCTTAGGGGCCCGGGCCACGCCTCCTCCCTTTGGGGTTAGTGTGCCTGTGTTTAGCTCTGGGGAGAGTCAAACTGGATTCCATAGGGAAAGCCTGCAAATCACTTCTATTTTAGCAGGGAGAAAACAGAATCTCCATCCCGCAGGGTCCACCCCTCTCTTTCTCCTTTTCTCTCTCTTTCTCTCTCTCTCTGTCTTTCCCTCCCCCCTTTCTCTCTCCCTCTCTCCCCCCTCCCCCCCACCCCACTCTCCCTCTCTGGTGTATCTGTCTACGGCAACCAGCGTCCTCATCTACACGCACTGAAAGGAAAGAAACATCTTTGGTTGGGAGAGAAGGAGGAAAAAAAAAGAGAGAGGAAAAAACTTGCCTGGTTGTGGAAAATGACACTTGAAGTAGCAAAGCCGGCAGCGCGAGTTGAGTCTATTGTTTCTTAAATTGCCATCAGGGCTTTTTTTTTTCTTCCTGCTTCAAGTGAAGGGTACCTCTACAAAAGGAAACTCCAGCCCCTCCTGTCCTACACCGGCCTGTGATCATTACAAAAAAAAAAAAAAAAAGCACCCAAACCAAAAATCAACCAACCAAACAACCCCCAACAGCCAAGCATACATCTCAATTTTTTTTTATTTTGGTCTTTTCGTTGGATTTTCCCTTTTTTTCTCCTTTCTTCTTTTTCTTTT